GATTATACATAATATTACATTTACTACCTAAAATATTTTAGTTAGAGTCTATAAATAAAATCACCCTACTCTTTAAATTTTATTCTTATTCAAATATTTCTTTATTATCTCTCGACGCAATAGATTTCAAAGTGACAATAATTGAGACCGTCTTGTTGAAGCTCATTGACTGACCTTATCAAACTTTTATTATGGTATATATTGTTCTTACAAGGCCGAGCACAGATCGTCTCTTCTATCTAATCAAAAGCTATAGTCTCTAGTAATCTTCTCGGGATCCACACTAATCGATCTCAGTTCTTGGTTCTTGGCACCAACATCTAAGCGAGGGGTACTGGCAATGACATTCTGACGCTCAAGTCAGTGATAATGTGGTATGTTAACAGGGTTTTGCAGCATAGTTCTCTTACCTTTCATACAAATGCTACACAGTATTTATATTACAATGATTGAGTGGTATCACTTAGGACTTCACAGGGTGGGACTATGTTGAGTCTTCTGGTAAAATATAGTACATGTGCCCCCTAAGTTCGAGTCGTCCGTCATGAAGTGTTATGACACGCTTGACGAGTGTTTGGATTTATATGGTGGCGAAGGGCTTGTTAGTATGTTGATTACTCATGTCGCCAACCTGAGACCCTCTACCGTCCGGGATAACTTCGACCTTTGTTTGTGAAATGACGTGGAAAAGAAATGACTAGGGGCATTTCTTACGTTCTTTGCCCTTATGATATTCTACTCCATGAAGTGCTCTGCCTTCTTCCTCTGCTTGCTCTCTCGCCAGTCTACTAGTCGTCGCTCTTTCTGTTTCGAGGTAAACATACTCCTTTCTCTCTTCCTCCTTTGATTCCGAGAAGTCTACGGGTGCATCGTCGATGGGTGTTCTAACCGATCTGCGACTGATGTTTCAGGTTTTTCTTTCCCACTTCAGCACTTGGCCATCTTCCTTGGTGAGTTGGTTATCCTTGATTGGTCAGTCAGCCTCCACCCTCTTCTCCTTATACACATCTTCATATAAAATTTTTAAGGGGAAGTTTCTTCAAAGTGGTCATCTATGAAAGTGATGAAGATCTTATTGAACCTTATGAAGAGATTAAAAGATCTTGAAGATTTGATGAAGTCAAAGGTTCTTTGGGTTAAAGGATGTAGTGATTAGTGAGTCTGCATTAATATTAATAGGTATAATCGTTCATTCTTCTCTGCTGCATAAGGTTTCATCACTTGAAAGAAGTTGAAATACCTCTAAATGTTTTAATCTCACTATAAGAAAAATACTAAATAGTGACCGAAAATTCGGTCACTAAATGACCAAAATCGGTCACTAACTAAAATAGTGACCGAAATAGTGACCAACTGGAATTGATCACTATTTCCTTGGTCAATGATACCGATTTAGTGACCGAATCAGTGATCAAATCAGTGATCGAATCAGTGACCGATTTAGTAACCGAATCAGTGACCGATTTAGTGACCGAATCAGTGACCAAATCAGTGACCGATTTCAGTGACCGAATCAGTGACCGATTCAATAACCGATTTTATGACCGAATATATATGACTAGATCGGTCACTAATTTTATTTTATTTTATTTTATATTATTTTTAGAATAACGATAAACCTCGATTAAGGAATATGAAATACATTATATATTATATTAAATATATGAAATTTTCACTACCTAAGATAACCATGAAAATAATACCACAAATTTTGTTCTAAATAAATTCATCATTCATGAATTAAATACTTTCTTACATATTGAAAATTCAATATAAAAGTATGTAGAATAAACTAAAATAAGAGTCATAATTTTGGAAATGTCAGAAACTAACAAAACAAATACAATATATAAAATAGAATCAGTTCACAATTCAGGAGGTTGAACATCCATCTCCTCCATCAAGAGAAGAAAATTTTTATCATTTTTCTAAATTTGTCTCTCATTAGTTAACATTCTTTCGCGGAGATCATCACTTTCAGTCTCAACTTCCTGTGACTTGTGTTTTAATTGTTCAATCTCCTCTCTCATAAATTGGACAAATGATGAAGTAGAGTCGTGGCAAGATTTCTCCCAATTGATTTGCTTGACACAGATCCAAGCCCATATACTTTGCCTTTGTTTATTCCAGCAACTTTACACCAAACCTGTAATTCATCAGGCGAAGAGCCTCCTGCAATAGATCATGATTGGGAGACTTCTTCCCATTCACGACTAAACTCTGCCTATAAACATTAAAATAGAATAGTAGTGAATGGGATAAAAACATAAAAAAGGATATAATTGTTTAAGAAATTAACATAAGAAGAAAAACAAGGAACTTACATCCACATGTGCTGATCTTTGATCCACCCATGTGTTATCCTTTCATTTGTGTGTTTTGCAAAACAACTCTAATGGGGTAAGGGGTTTTCCATTCAAATTTATCTAAAATATGGTTAAAAACACAAACTTAGAAGTGCAATATCCACCATAAAAGAAAAGAAGTTTGTCAAGTCATGACAATAGGTAATGTAATAACTATTTTTCTCTTCCATCATAAACAACACCATGTAATCAAATTTGAACTAACTAATGTACATTCTTTCCACACCTAAATATAGTCCAGGGTTTCATAATTCACATATACATTATAGGTTCAAAAGTACAACATATAGGACCAATACATGCATAAAGGAGTATAAAGCAAACTTTACCAAATGTTCTCTATGTTGAGAAGTGCTAATGGAGCCATCAGTATCACTACTACAAAATATGCTTTCTACGTCGTCATTTAACGTCGGTTAAAGTTGAGCCGACGTTGAATACACTTTCAACATCGGTTGGTTAAAAAACGACGTTGAAAGTTGAATTTTAACACATTCAATGTCAATTTCAGTCAACTGATGTTGAAAGTTGAAATAATAGCAAATTAACCCATTACATTAATGTTAGAGGCTGATACTCCAACCACTAAGCTACTAAAATTTTCTAATAATAATTTTTAAATAAATTATATTTATAAACAAATAAATGTATATCTGTGTAAATATATAAATATATAAATATATAAATATATTTATATATTTATATGTTGGATGTGAGGGCGCATTCGAGAGTGAAAGTGTGTGTCGAGTGAGTTTTCAAAATTTGATGTCAAATTTGTGAGCGAAGTCTTTTTATATGAGTTTGTAATTTAATGACAAAATATAATATTTATAATTTATTTATATAATGATATAAAATAATTTTTTCTTTATTTATTTTTATTTTATTTTAATTTATTATTTTTTATCTTTTTTTCTTCTATTATTTAATTGAAATTCTTATATTAAAATATTTTTTTCAATATTAAAAATAATTAAATATTTATTTTTAAAATTATTTAATTTAACAAATTATTATAAATTAATCTATGTCTGGAAATAATAATTATTAAAAGATGATTTTGATTAATTTATAATAATCTATGTTAGGAAAAAATTGTTCTATTAATAATCATAATTAGATTAAATTTGATATCAAATTTTGAAAATCCACACTCAACAACACTTTTACCCTCGAGCACGCTCTCACATCCAACATATAAATATATAAATATATCAAAATATATCAAAATATATTTGTATTTATATATTTATAGAGATGTACATTTATTTGTATATAAATATAATTTATTTATAAATTATTATCGAGAAAATCCTAGTAGCTTAGTGGTTGGAGTATCAGTCTCCAACTCTAAAGTATTGGGTTCAAATCCTGTTATTGACAATTCTCTTAAAACAATATAATATAAAGTGGAGGGGGAACCTCTAGATATCCCATACATCTAATTTTTCCATTTGACATGTTTGCATGTTGACGAAGGTACAAGTCTATTATACATTTAACTATGTCATATGCCAACAAATGACTTATTTTAATAACTAATATACCATATAATTATCTACAACATAATTACATTAAAACCTCTAACTAAAACTATTTAACTATGTCATATGCCAACAAATGACTTATTTTAATAACTAATATACCATATAATTATCTACAACATAATTACATTAAAACCTCTAACTAAAACTTCCCAATAGTACAAAGATATTGACAGTTGGAAACTTAAGATGGTGGAAGTAGACGTGTTTGAAGAACTTTCCAAATTGCAGCCTAACAAGATCTGGTTTCACGATTTATTCCCTGCATAAAAAAAACATGTCAAAATGGTTAATAGATTAAATAAGTTATAACAATTATGGGGAAGAAAACGACACATTCAATGGGTAAGAGATTTCTGATACGTCAAATACAAACACATAAAGACCCTTTAAATATGACAAATCCAAACTTTATTGTAAAAGACAATTACAGGACTAAGTTCAATATCAAGTTTTCTAATAAAGAGTAACTCCAATGTGCATTTAAGTCAATTGAAACAAAACCATCCACGGCTACATTTACATATTCAACACATACTAAATAGTAAAAGAAATGGCACCTAATGTGTACATGTACATAATGAAATAAGACTAAATTGCAAAAAAAAAAAACAAGAGTCTTTCATATCATTTAAAGACAAGAGTCTTTGCAAAATGTTGAAATTAAGATCCATTTTCTTTTCTCCATATTCCCGTGTCAAATGTTTGAGTCAGAATGAGTGTTAGAATGGGTGTGATACTTGTACATTCGTGAACCTTGGTACTCCTTAACTCTATTTAAATCTCACTCTTACTCCACCGCACTACTACAAAATATGCTTTCTACGTTGTCATTTAACGTCGGTTATAGCTGAGACGACGTAAAAAGTACTTTCCACGTCGGTTCCCAGATGAACCAACGTTGAAAGTTGAATATTAAACACATTCTACGTCGGTTACCGACGTAGAAAGTACTTTCCACGTCAGTTCCCATATGAACCGACGTTGAAAGTCTTTTTGTTTTTATTTTTTTTTCACTTATTGACACTTTCCATGTGGGTGACGTGGAAAGTCTTTTTTTCACTCACCCAAAAGTTCACTTAAATTTGAAAATTGTAACTTGCAGGATTCGAACCCAGGATTTTAGAATTTAAAACTGATACTCTAACCACTAAACTACTATAATTTTCTAATAATAACTTACAAATAAATTATATTTATATACAAATAAATATATATCCATGTAAATATATATTTATTTGTATATATTTTCTGGAAAGTATTTTTATTTTTTTTCAACCAAAAATTCACTTAAGTTAAAGAATTATCATCGACAACATTTGAACCCATTATTTTAGAGTTGAAAGTTAATATCCCAACCACTAAACTACTACAATTTTTTTATAATAACTTACAAATAAATTATATTGGTATTTTTCGATCGAGGGTGAAAGTGGAATTGACTCTTGCTTGAGTGAAAATATGTTAAAGCTCACAGAAATTCACTCGCTCACAAACTCATATAAATTCATATAAAGATACATGCTCACAAATTTAGCATCAAATTTTGAAAACCCACTCGACACACACTTTCACCTTCGAGCGTGCCCTCACATCCAACATATAAATATATAACTATATAAATATATCAAAATATATAAATATATTTGTATTCATATATTTATATATTTACACGGATATATATTTATTTGTATATAAATATAATTTATTTGTAAGTTATTATCAGAAAATTCTAGTAGTTTAGTGGTTGAAGTATCAATCTCCAACTTTAAGGTTACTAGGTTCGAATCCTACCAATGACAATTCTCTTAAAAAATTAATATAAAGAGAGAGGAGACTTCTAGACAAATAAAAGGGGTAAAAGGGTTGTAAATAAATAAAAATTATTGATTTGAAAAATCAGCCTTCGAGAACTAACGTGAAAAGCTTTATCTGTAATAGTGCCACCTTCTCATCCCAGTAACGTCTTTTCTTTGTGTTATTACTCTCGCCCCATTTTCTACCCCAGATGTTATCCTCTTCCCACCTCTCTCTTACTCCATATCTCTACTCCTTTTTCCTCATCTCTCCTAATTGTTTAACTAATACAATTTCTCCTCCCTTGTTTGCGTAAATCACTCTCAATTTCTACTAATTGACTAGCCAGAAAACTCATTGTTTATTAAATATATTCTCACATACATGAAAAGTTTACATGAATTTGCTTTTATTTAGAAGCAATTATTGATACATTTGTATTGTTAGTAAACATTGCAGCAAGTATAAATCATCTATGTTAAACCCGATTACCTATGTTTTTTATTCATTTGTTTGATTATGCAATAACTTTTAAAAACTGTGGTTTAATTAATATATTTGTGTGTATATTGAAGGAACTACCATTGAAGTCATAGAGCAGATTTTGCAGTTATTCTATATTTTACAGCCCCTAATTAATGGCCTGTATTTTACTTTGGACAATGTTTTAAAATATGAAGTTAAATCTAAATAATCTCTAATCTCATTCTAAGATTTCTAAATCTAAATAATTATTATTACAAAGTCTCCTCAAGCTTAACAAAACACAAAAAGGAAAAAAAAAATGTGTACAAGATGATGACTCTGAAAAACCATGAAGTTATAAAACATGTACAAATAAAAAAGTTTGGTAAGTGTGAAGTTATAGTTCAAACAATTAAAAGTGTTTAGGACTCGACAACATAAATTTCATCATGACAGAATTGTTGGAGTTAATATCATCATCTTATTCTACATATGCATTAAATTCATAGACACAGTTGGAACTATATTTTAATCTTTTATTATCTACAACCACTTTGGTTTATTTATCTTTAAATCCAAATAACAACTTTTATATTGCATAACAATATTATTTCCATGGCTTTGATATCATATTTACATATATAATAATATATAGAGAGAAATAAAGATAGAGGATCTATTACATAAATATAGAAAGATATATAATATTGTTATGCAACAAAAAGTTGTTAATCAAATTTAAAGATAATCACGAATCATTGTAAGTAATGAGATACTTTTATTTGAATTTAAGAGATAAATCGAAGTGGTTGCAAATAATGCAGAAAGGTAGTTTCACATTCTTCATATATAAAGAAACATATGTGTTCTATTTGTAAAAGTGAGAAAAAGTTCCACTAGAATGAACAAATTAACAATTTTTACAGAAAAATATATTATCTAATGATTAAGAAATTTATGATAACATTTTCTTTAGTTTTGAATGTGTAATAAAACAGCGAACATTAACTTGTAACTAGATAAAAGAATGAGTTTTTTTTTTTCTCTTTCCATTTGATCTGTTTACCTATGATTATGAAGTTAGAGATGCATAACATAGCCGTACAGAACCTGTTACATTATCTATTCTTCTCTAAAGCACTATCATATACAAGCTCATTCAGCAGAGTATTCAAGAAGTCACTATTTCTTTTTCTCTTACAAAATTATTCCCCTACAACCATATACTCTATGTTGTTAATCATAGAGTTTTTGGAGACTTGTCCAACTTTAAATAAAAGTAAGTATCTTCCCAAAAAACTAATTATCCTCAATTCAACTACAAAGAGAACAAAATAAGAAAGATGAACTTACATACTCTTTGACTGCATTGAAGAAATCCTGAGAGTAAACTTGTCCTCTCGAATCTACCTCTGAGGAGAATCCAAACCATAATTCAGGATTTTCTTGTTCAAAAGTAAAACTTGTCTCAAGAAAGCTAGAGATCAACCAAAGACCATTCAACATGTAAAGAAAAACCAGAGTTTTATAATAGATATGTACAGTAAAAATTATATATTCTTGACTAATTATAAATCATTTTTAGTATATTTTCTAAATAATGAGATTTATTATTTGAAAAATGATATTATTAATCTAAAGAAAATAAATTTATGCTGACATTTTTTGGGAGAAATTAGTGGACGTGGGAAGACAATTAAATTCTTTTCCAATGGATTTGAAACAATACCATGTACAAAACTTAAAAAAATCTCGAGACTTGCAAAAACACACTATTAATATCTCATCATTTACATTTTGTACTTCTCAAATTAGTACCTATAACAATCATGAATTTACAAATTATATGTAATTTGTAAACATTCGATAAAATTAACATTTATCATGCTCTTATTCTATTACATTCTTGTCATGTTTTTATATCCTATCATAACTTGATCACTAAAAATAAACCTTAAAGAAGATATTATAAACCTAACCTTCTTGATTTTAGAACAGTTCCAGTTTGTTAATGAATATAAAAAGACAATATTTAAACTGTTTAAATGGTTGTAAGGCTAAATGTTTATGTGCATTGAACAAAGAAACTTTTAGCTAAATGGCTATATGGTCAGATGGTCAGAGTATCATCAGAAACAATCTCTATGGTTTGGGAGAGAACACAACCACATGGAATCAAGCTGTAACCTGGTGACCCCTACACCTTGTACACCACTAACATTTCTGCCATTAATCTCAATGCTGATCTGTATGGATCACATCCTATGTACATGGATCTCAGAAACACAGGTGGCGAGGCTTCTGCCATGCTGTTCTGTTGCTCAATAGCAATGGAATGGATGTTTTCTACACTGGAAATTCTCTCACTTACAAGATTATCGAAGGTGTTTTCGACTTTTATTTCTTTTCCGGGCCTAGTCCTCTTAATGTTGTTGATCAGTACACTACCTTAATTGGCAGACCAGCTTCAATGCCTTACTGGGCTTTTGGTATAACTCATCTTCTTCTGTTTCTTACATTGCGTATTGTACTTGGTATATATATATATATATATATATATTTTGGTCCTGAATTGATCCTAGAAGCCCATTGTTAACTAACTTGCTTGATATTGCCCACATGTCATGAATAACATTACCTTTGGGTGAAGGGAAGTATACAATTTAGTGATTATTTCCTACGTGGATTTATGCTCTGTTTGTATCTATATTTTTCCTATGGGGAGAGGAGTGGAGTAGAGAGACAAGAGCTTATAAAGTGTTATGAATTAGGTGAAATTAAAGCATAATAGATCTTGTCTTTTTGTATAATACAAAAACCCCTGCATTGTTCCTTTTTCCTTTCTGGTCTCTATATAACAGGAATAATAATGCACATGCAAATCAGGGTCTGTTTGTATTATTCAATAACAGAAAGTAAAAACATAAGGAAACAAAAGGGAAATCTTTTATATCAAACGAGTCACTTTATACTAAAATAGCACTGAATCAGATCAATAAGTACAGGTACAAGAAGTTGGTTAATATATATCTTATTAGGCAATATCATTGAATAGTAATCTAAATTATTTAATTACTTCTTTCAATTTAAACAAATCACTCAGCTTAAATACCAAAGTGGTTGCTGAAATGCTGAAATACAAACCAAGACATTCCAATATAAATTAATAACAAGGCAACTGTAAATTCTTAAGATTTTAATCTAGTTTCTAAAAAGACCATTTTGTTAACCGTGAAATATATCTACTCAACTAAGATATCAAATTAGTTGACTATTTCCATGAAAACAGTTCACATCATAAAACATGTTCTTGTCAACCAACTAACCAAAACTATTGAGCTTGAAGCACAATATGGCAAATTGACTTTAAGTGAGGATGAATTATCTGAATTTATATATTTACAGAAGTTCACAGTTTATACTTACTGGGAGTTATGACACCAGTATACTCATTCATTTTCAATATACCTATTAATTTTACTGGAACGAGTTATCTGCACTATGATTCTTTCCCTAGCTAGAAGTATTTTTATTCTACCCTGCGAAACATAAGAAACTTTTATTCTCATCCCAATTTCCCAACAATATTCAAACATTGGTTGTCCAAAAGCCACCATAGGATAAATCACACAAAAACTAACAAAATTTTTAAATTGTTCTGATTGTAAACAAACACCAATAAAAGTCTCTTTCTACTAAGTGAAGTCAATCACCTATCAACAAACAACTCCAGTTGTTCCCAAATTAAAAAAAATAGAAAATTAAATACCTCAGCCAGAGATACCTACACGACGAAGATAAAATTGACAAAAAAGAATATTGTCTCGTTGGCTTTCTTTTGTTATCATTTACATGTTCTATAGTCAATCCAAACACACTGATATAAATTTAAACAAAGATCATGTAAAAGCCTAACCATTTCTAGCACAAGGAGAGAGTCGATAAGAGACAAATGCGAGCTATATGGTCAGATGTCCTTTGTTTGAATTAGAGGTCGTGAAGTTTTGGGATGGGATTTGAGGTCATCGGGTTAAGATTCAAGTTTGTCAGGGTTAGGATTTGATCTCACTGAGGCTTAGGTTAGGGTTTGATGTCGCCACAGTTTCAGGCCGCTTGGATTCAAGGCCATCGAGGTTTGGGTTAGGGTTGGGTTGGGTCGAGGTTAGGGTTTGAGGTCACTGGGGGTTGAGTTAGGGTTTGAGGTCAGCTAGGTTTGCATTGGGTTTGACAGTACGATGATTTGGGTTTGCCTTTAGATCACTACAAGAAAAACACCAAATAGTGACTGAAAATTCGGTCACTAAATGACCAAAATCAGTCACTAACTAAAATAGTGACCGAAATAGTGACCAATTGGAATAAGTCACTATTTTCTTGGTTACTAATTTTAGTGACCAATTTCGTGACTGAATCAGTGACCGAATCAGTGACCGATTTAATGACAGAATCAGTGACCGAATCAGTGACCGAATAAATGATTGAATCAGTGACCGATTTAGTGACCGAATCAGTGACCGAATCAGTGATCGAATCAGTGACCGATTATATATGACCGAATCGGTGACTATATCGATCACTAATTTTATTTTATTTTTTTATATTATTTTTAAAATAATGATAAACCTATGAAATACATTATATATTGTATTAAACATATGAAAATTTCACTACCAAAGATAACCATCAAAATAATACCACAATTTTTTTCTAAATAAATTCTTCATTCATGAATTAAATACTTTCTTACATATTGAAAATTCAATCTAAAAGTAAGTAAAATAAACTAAAATAAGAGTTATAATTCTGAAAATGTCAGAAACTAACAAAACAGATACAATATACAAAATAGAATTAGTTCACAATTCAGGAGGTTGAACATCCATCTTCTCCATCAAGAGGAGCAACATTTTATCATTTTTCTGAACTTGTCTCTCATTAGTTAACATTCTTTCATGGAGATCATCCCTTTCAGTCTGAACTTCCTGTAACTTGTGTTTTAATTGTTCAATCTTCTCTCTCATAAGCTGGACAGATGATGAAGTAGAGTCATGACAAAGATTTCTCCCAATTGCTTTGCTTGACTTAGATCCAAGCCCATATACTTTGCCTTTGTTTATTCCAGGAACTTTACATCAAACCTGTAATTCATCACGCGGAGAGCCTCCTGCAATAGATCTTGATTGGGAGGCTTCTTCCCATGCACAACTAAACTCTGCCTATAAACATTAAAATAGAATAGTAGTGAATTGGATAAAAACATAAAAAAGGATACAGTTGTTTAAGAAATTAACATAAGAAGAAAAACAAGGAACTTACATCCACATGTGCTGATCTTTGATCCACCCATGTGTTATCCTTTCGTTTGTGTGTTTTGCGAAACAACTTTGATGGTGTAGGGGGTTTTCCATTCAACTTTATCTAAAATATGGTTAAAAACACCCTAGAAGTGTAATATCCACCATAAAAGAAAAGATTTTTTTCAATTCATGACAATAGGTAATGTAATAACTATTTTTCTCTTCCATCATAAACAACACCATGCAAATTTGAATTAACTAATGTACATTCTTTCCACACGTAAATGTAGTTTAGAGTTCCATACTTCACATATACATTATAAGTTCAAAAGTACAACATATAGGACCAATACATGCATAAAGGAGTATAAAGCAAGCTTTACCAAATGTTCTCTATGTTGAGAAGTGCTAATGGAGCGACCAGTATGGAGTGAAATTCCAAGTCCAGCACAATCAGAAGCTCGATTTACTTTTGCAATCAAACTTTTTACTTTGAATTGTTTTGATCCCCAATGTTGGTATAAGATATCCCATACATCTTCTCCAAGCCAATTTGGCTTCTTCATTATCATGCGTGCCTTGTTTAGTGAACTTTTTAATATGTTGGCACTTCGCATTTCAAAGTTCCTTCTAGCCAACATATGATCAGGTGGGAAAATGATGTATAATTTTCGGTAAGCAGACCAAATGTTACAAAAGTAACCAATTTATCATCCTCAAGAATTGAATATTTGTTGAATACCAGATCATTAATTTTTCCTAAGTTTTAGTAATCAAAGTTTAAAAGAATGACAATAGAAAAGTTAATTTTCTTTTGCAGTAAAATATATGCTAGAGGATTAATTTCATATCCCTTCTTACAAATTCCTAGCCTATTTAATTAATGCAAGAATTAAATTTACCCACTAGAGTTAAAAGTGTTATTCACTTCCTAATCCCTTAGGTAAGCAAAATTATTCACTGAACTTTTAATGTCCCAATTCCTTGGAAGAAGAAAAATTCACTGAAACTTGGATGGTAAATATTTTCCTCAACACAAACTAGTTAAGCTTGTATAATTTTCCAATTAAACAAAAACCCAACTTACCTTATCTATTAACATAAACAGTGTCAATTTTTCCAAATGTAACTGCTTAAAATTAAACATCAAAAGGCATAGATAAGGTACTAGAATAAATGAAATTACAATGCATCAAGATAAATAAGTTGATAATCTGTCTTACATAATATTACATTAATCCTCTAAAACAGGAAAAAGTTTATCCTTCCATAAAAGCTTCTCAAAAAAACTCTATATGCTGCCTTGTACGCTCCTCCCTCGGGGTCAACTCTCTATGTAGCTTTTAAAACTCCTTCCCAAAACTTTCCTCGTCAGCCCTCCTTTCAGCTACTTCTGCCTTTTCCTTTTCCAGCCCAAGCCCAATAGCAAAGAAAGGAAAAGATTTCACTGCCAGCCTATGAGTAATGCCAGCCATGCAAGCCCACACTAAATTTGTTCTAATTGCACTTGTTTTTTCAACAAAACAAAGAAACTACACAACAAGTTAAATGCAACGGTAATGCATGAAAACATTGTTCAAGTGTTACAAGAATGCATGCAATTGACCTAATTTAATCTATAAATGTGAGGTAAAATAAACATGCATAAAAATCTCCTAGGCTTAAGTCTTTTCTTGTCCTCAAGCAAGGAAATTTCAATGAACACAGATGATGCAAGTATACAGACTTACATTATCATAACTCAAGTTCCAATTCCCAAAGAAATAATTTCCAAGCACACCTCTCATCCTTTTTCCCGCTTGATTTTTACTCGAACTGCCACATACTCAATTACGTGTAACCAAAGAATTGCAAGACATATCATCACTTGAGCACTATGGATCAATGTTTGAAATTAATCCTCACAGTGTTTCGCTCTAGGTGAGTGTTTCTCTCAATCACACATCATTTCTATGAACATAAGCATTGACATATTCTTTCCATTGTCACCTTTGAAAAAAAAAAAATAGAGGTTTACAAGGTCTTGAAAAGGTTGTAATGGGGCTTGACTGATGAAGAAATACATGGTTTTTCTGGATGCATAAAGTTCCAAACTCCAAAGAGCAAATTGAAAATGAAAAGAAAAATAATGGAACCATTGAACCATAACTGCTTTCTTTCTTTTGATAATTCCACCCACATCTATTATTCCCAATTTCTTCCTTTCAGACTCAACTTTTCCCTGTAATTCGTATTAATGAACCCCTCTCTTTCCAAAACTTTTATGCGATCTGCCTGGTTCTCTTTTCCTTCTCTTTATATATATATATATATATATATATATATATATATATATTATTCTAGAGAACCTATTTGAGCAGTTTCTCAGGT